ACTGGCCGGGAGGCAGGTACAATAACCCAGCGGGGGGCACAGTGGCTTGGCCCAGGTGGGGGTCTCAGAAGTGGAAGACCTGGGGAAGTCTGCATGCCAACAGCCTCGCAGCTGGAGTGGGTGTGGAGAGAGAAAGAGCCATGGAGTTTAGTCTTGAGCAACTCAAAATGATGGAAATGCTATTTACCAAGATGGAGAAGATTTGAAGAAAAGCACATTTGGGGGAGAAAGTTTCAAAATTAGGTGTTTTGAACATATTAAGTTTGAGATGTCTGTAGGCACTGAATATTGGAGAGGTACAGGAGAGAAGTCTGGAAAGAAGAGGTTATTTGGGAAACATCAGAGTATTGATAGTTTTATGTGACACTCTCCATTAGTGTAATTATAATTATTCTAATAAAAAAAGTTTTGCAGTAAATCATCAGCCTCACAAAACAAGATACTCTAGTGTATATCCTATAGTGTATGTTCTATGCTGAGAAGTATCCTGAACTCCCTTCTCCCCTAGAGGTTTGTGTGGTATGATATCTTATTTGCCCATTTCAAAGGGATTAAATGCCTCCCTCCCTCCCCTACCTTACCATATCCCCAAGAGGCAGCCATGTGGTTGCCAGCAGAGAATAGCTCAGTTGCTCTTGTAGCACATTTAAGGCAGATGAGAAAAGCCTTCACTCTGGAATAGAAATATCAGAGACAACTTGGCTCCAAGGCAGAGAGACAGACAGAGAGACAGAGACATTGATATGGGAGGGCACAGAAGGATGCTTCCAGGCTTCCCCTTCCCCTGGAAGTGTGAACACCCAGGGAATACCCACTCTGGGGGTTGGACAATTGTCTAAACCTAAAGATGGGGGGTGGGGAGCACAGAGATACCTGCAGGCTTTACAGTGCTAATTAAAGTATTTGCAATTAGTCTGGCTTGTTCTGTGATTCCTTTCTGCAAACAAAAAAAGCTGGGAGAATATATTAGCTCTTGGCCACCTAGTTCTAAAAAAAGCCTTTTTCGCCAGTCATCACTCTTTTGTCCTGCTTAGAAAAGAGCTGAACCCACTATGTGCACACAGTCAAGTATCTGACTTACCTCCTTGTTCAAAACAGTATCTTTCCTTCCATTTCATATGGGAGTGCAATTACCTATTTGCTTTTAAAGCATGAGTATTTACTTTGAATTTAATAAAAGTTCTTAATTTAGGTGTCTTATTTTTATTCAGTGAAGACAAGTCTTCCTAATTCTTGCCATTCTTCTGATTCCACACACTTGGCAATGTTACCCGCCTACTCAGAATGCAAATGTTACATATTTTTTAATGATGGGAAAAGCATTCACTAGAGTTTGAAAGAACTTGAGGGGTGTGTATTTATGTGTGTGCCTCTGTGTGTAAATAGTTGCACTCATTGCCACTTTATAATAACCACATACTTGAAGGCGTAGATTTCTTTTTCACTGTAGGGAAAGAACGAGTCCACCCTAAGTGGAGAAATGTGAACCACGTGTGACTATTTCATTCATTCATTTATTCATTCGACATGGAGTTTTTTACGCTGATTCTTACGAGCTTTTAACCCATTTAAACACATTCTATCCAATAAGGATATTCTAAGATGGCTCCTGAGATAAGCACTGTGGGTGTCTGCTGGACACTTACACGTGTGGATTACATGCATTATTGAGAATCTGGCCCATCTCTAACGAGCAGTAATGGCAAAACATAACACTTTGGGAGGATTGTTGGGAATAAGAAATCTGAACACAAACATCACTAGTAAGAAAGATGAACACAAACATGGTAAGAAAGATGCACCAGAACGCTTCTTTATATCAAGTTGAAAAAAGACATTAACACAAAATTGAGGTTTTATATCTGATATTCATTCTATTTTGCTTTCAAGTTGGTTTGCAAGGAGCCTCATTCAAGAATATCCTAAAACCAGAATACTAATAGAGAGTGGAGATTACTCAAGATCCAAATAAAAGCTACCATATAAACAAGCATGGGTGAACCAAATTCAAATAGTTACTGCAATTATTTTTTAACAGATAGTTTAGGTTAATAGGTGGAGACATGGTTCTGCCACTGTATTTAAGGTTAGGTTAATAATTAACTTTGGTGCCTGCAGTAGTTTAATCAAAGCTTACCGTAAATCATAAAACTGCTCCATGCAGACTAAACAGGGTATTAAAAAACCATACAAAATGTTTGTAATCTTGACCTCTGGTAGCCAACTGGACAAGATGTAAAAAAAAAAAAAAGGAAAGATATTTTCATTCAGAATTGAGCACAGGCATGTTTACTTTGGGGAAAAACAAAAACAAAAACTAAATAAAGGATTCATGTTTCCAGAACCACAGTCTCCCCCCTACCATCACTGGCAAACCTTGGACTTAACGCTCAAGATAAGATGTAAATTGGAAGGAAAACCGACAATGAACAAGATTAGAGAAAGGCAAGGCAAAAGCACTCGACTCAACCTTGCCACTCAGAAAAGACTTTAAAAACCAGCGCTGGGGGGCATTAAATAGCTTTCCTGAGACCTGCTGGCAGGACACTGCAACTGGGTTAAACATCTTTTCCGAGTTGAGGCAAAAAAAAAAGTTGTGTGAACAAGTGTGAGAAAGTGTGTGCGGTGCGCGCCCGTGTTTTTAAACCTTTCACGGATGACATTCAGTAGCAACTTGATTTCCATCCAGCATAAGCAGAGAGCGTTCCCACCGTGGCGTGTGTGGCCGCGGCATCCCCAAAGCAGCCCCCTTCCCCCCAAGGACAGCCGCCGAGCGCTGGAGTGGCTGCCCGCTGCAGAACAGGCCCGGGGCCGCCCGCAAGGGCTCGCTCTGGCGGTGAAGACAGGGTCCAGCCTCGCTCCACGCGCACCAGGCTACCTGCTCTGTTCCTTCCTAGACGCCCGCTGAATGGAAAACT